TTCATTGTTTAGAGCCTCCGTTTCCTTATCTGGAAAATGGAGATGGAAGAGAAGTCAGGTGAATGTGGTGTTCAGGATTCTAATGAGGAAAGACCCTCATTGTTGTGTACCAAGGGTGTGGGCAGGGACCCCAGGAGGAGGATGACCTGCTGGATAATTTCATGGGGCTCAGGTCTGGGTCTCTGTCCTGGAGGTGCTTCTCTTTGGATACCTATAAGAGTATGAATTGGGTCCTCTTTGTTCCTCTCCAGATCCAGAACTCAGAGGAAGGTGTCCTGTACACACAGGGCCTGGCAAGCACCTATGGGGATGTGTGCTGCTGGTGGGTGGGCCCTGACATGCAGCCATTCGTGTCTTCCACCCCACCTGCATCAAACCTGTGCTCTTTGCTCCAGGTAGAAATCCCCCTGGCCATAGCTCCCCTGTTGCTCAGGTTTCTGTGCTGCCTCCAGCTCGGGGGTTTGACCCAGGTGCTGACAAGAGGGGCTGCCTCCGTCTCATCTGGACCCCCACCTGACCTACCTCCCGTCATGTTTGCTTATTCCTAGGGTGTGTCTGTGTGACATCTTCTGAATGGCCATGCCCGTTCACATTTATGTTTCTGCCTGTGTCCTAGTTACAGCTGGTATATGTTCACACCTGGGATCAAACAAAGATGGCCTCAGTCATGCCTGGGGTTCAGTTGTGGCCAAGGATATTTGAGACATGTTGAGGACTCTCTGGTTTATGTTGGAGATAGTTTGGTTCTCCTGCTGGTCATGTTTGGGCCGTGTTTGGGATTTGTCTGATACCTGGGACCCAGGGTCTCTCTAAGAAATGTCTCATAACTTATGTGAGTCTTGTCCAAGGCAGGGAATAGGGTATGTCTGGGTCATACCTGGTCCATATCTGTGATATTAATGGGACCACATTTAAGTCATGTCTGGGCCCACCTTTGGGACACACTGAGGTCATGTCAGATTGTCTTTGCATCTATGTCAGATTATGTTGTGACATGTCAGGTGTGTCATGCATGTTGTATCATGACAGGACATGTTAGCACATGTTGGGGCCATGTCTGTTGTCCCAGGAGATGTCAGAGAGTGCTGGGGCAGACAAGGTGTCCAAGGTCTCTGTAAATGTGTTTTGTAGAGCACTGGGCTGTGCTTGGGTNCCCATTCTCCACAGCTGGCTTTCAGACCACCTCAGGGGCGCTGTCCAGGTTCTGCTCCCTACGTCTGGCCCATTTCCTTGTGTCTGCTCACTCTGGGCTGCGGTTTCACCACAGTAATTAGCTATGATCTCCCCACCCGCACCCACTGGGGGACAGCTCCCTGCCTCCTCTATTTCCTGATCATCTTCCCCTTATCTACTCTTCTCCCCTAACATGTCTCAGTGGGATAGTGGCCCAACCTGGATAAAGTTGACCAATCTCCCTTCAGAAGCCTTCTTTATCTCCCTGCCCAAACTCCAGACCTTGACTTTTGACTGGATCTAGTCCAGCTTATTTAAACATTTAATTTGTCCAGTTACTTATCTGGCTCTCCAACTTGATGGTAGCTCTAGGAATACATTTATCTGAAGTCCTCAGCCTAGGGACAGGCATACAGCAGGCACTTAATAAATGTTTGATCACCTAAGTGATGAACTTGCCGTCACCTCCCTCAGTCAAGGCTAAAGGGATGAGTGTTCAGCCTTGGAGGCAGCAGGAATATGATCAAGTTGCAGCAGTTCCGTTTCCTGCTCTGAGGGCTTGGCCGTGGGGAATGCCTTAGTCACTCATTTTCTCCCAGTGACCCTTGCTGCAGACCTCAGCTGAGTTACTCTCCCTCTTTGGACCAATCTAACCAAGTGCTTTGAATCCTCACCTCAGGGTCACTGGGGAGCAGGGAGTAGGTTTCAAGAGTGAATACAACCTATGTTCAACTCGCTGGAGCACTTGAGATATTTTTAAGGCTTGGATGGTGCATCCTGGGGGACTGGAGAGGACACCTCACCGGGAGGTGACCCACTCTCCTTCCCCTTTGGGGGGATGTGGCCTCAGTTTCTTCATTTGTAAATAGCATGATTGATAGGGGTTTCCATAGGTTGAGGAGACATAGATGGACTGACAAGTATGCTCTTCGACTGATAGATAGATAGACTGGCAGAAAGGATTCAAGATGGATGACAGATAGAAGATAGACAGATAAAAGAGAGATAGATAGGTAGATAGATAGATAGATAGATAGATATTAGATAGATAGATATTAGATAGATAGATAGATAGATAGATAGATGATAGATCGATAGATGCTAGATAGATAGATAGATAGATAGATGATAGATAGATAGACGGCATGCACTGTACACAGAGCCTAGCCAGCAGAAGAGGCTCACAGGTCAGAGCTGCCCTCCTGATTGATATGCAGAGTCACGTGTGTCCCTTGGGGTTGTGGCACTGGAAGGTCCTGGGTCAGCAGGCCCTTCATCATTCAAGGAACTGAGAGCCATGGGGAATGGTTAGGACAAGACCCAGGGACAAGTCCGGAGGCCACCCTGCTGCCCATAAACCTCATGGGGCCTCCCCATGTGCCCCCCACTCCATGCCTGGAAGCACTCCAAGGATGAGAAAAGTCCATCTCTTCCAGCCAAGACTGGCCTCTTTGTGCAGAGAGTATGTCTTCTCCGTATGCCGTGGGGTGAAACTTAGTGACTTGAACAGTTCTCACGGACCCTCTTGCCTCAAGAGAGAAGGAGAAGGAAGAAGCAGATTCCCTCCATCCATGCAGCATCTGCACACACTGCCCACTGCCCACTGCAGAGGCTGCAGGGGGAGGGGGCTCTGCTGAGGCTCCTCCTGGGGAGTGACAGCTCTGCCTTGCTTACAGATCGCTCCCAGTGAGCAGGGCTTGAGGAACGTAACTCAGCTGGTGACCACCTACCCGCAGGGATTTATGACCTGGCAGGGTCCCATCATGCCTCTCATCATTTTATGCCACCCTGACATGGTCCGGGCGATCACCAACGCCTCAGGTACCCACACAGAGTTTGACCCAGCCCTCTTGCCCTCTTTCTCTCATTCATCTTCCTCTTTTCTTTATACATTCAAAGCCGCCTCCTCCCTCTAACTCTCTCTGTCCCCTTTCTGTTGTCCTGGGCACCACTGGGGCC